ACTTGACTCCTCATATCTTGGCTGTATTCAAAACAGAATTCTCGGCCACCGCTCTGAATTGTGGGTAAGGAGAGTCGAGTCAACCGAGGGTTAGGGGGAAAGTCTGAGCTCTGTTTCAAACAGCAGTCTTCGGTTCAAACAGAGAGAGCGCAAGAGAATGGGAGAAACTGTTCACCTCTCTTATCTCACTGATAGGACATAGATGCTATGCTCTTCCCTACCATTCCCCGTCAGAGGGGGCCACAGAAGAAGACCGAGAGGGACTATTGTTGATTCACTGCTAGACACGCACACACATAGATAAGATACATGATGGAGAATTGAGAGCAGGGAGGACATTGCTGGCTTGGTATCCACCAGTGCAGAAAAGGCTGGAAATTCTGATGAAAGGAGTAGTATATTTGGACAAGACGTATCATTAAGATAGGCGAAGGGAAACAGGGAGGATGCGTTGAGATTTTCCATCTGTTCTTTAGGCAGTGTTATTACTTTCTCACTAAAGCATCACGAGACCCTGAGAAAACAATTCTCACCCAGTGTTGCTGCCAAGAGGATTAAAATACTTAGTCACTCTCTGACTATAATAAAATCTGTTGGTTTCTCTGAGTTAAACAAGAATCACAAAAGCACAGTTTTGACGCATAGAGATAATTAGGTGTTTGGAGACCTAGACAATAGAACAAGATTTCTAAACATATCCAACTCATGAGTTCATGAATGTACTGTTATTACTGAATGTATTATTATTTTCAATTACATCAGCAAGTATAGAAAGGATCTATGAGAAGATTGTTGCAGTCGACAAACACATTTAGGGTTGTCTTGAAGGAGGTGCGCTCTTAAATCTGAAATCTGCAAAAAGGATTTCCTGTTTGACAACAGGCATCAGAGCATGCTTCAAAAAATCTTACAGATGGATGGATGGAAGGACAAATTGACAGACAGACAGATCAGTAGACAGATAAATATGGAGAAACTGTTAGACGTCTACATATATATGGACTTTGACTTACCGGAAGGTCTAAGCAAGCAAAAAAGCAAATCTGGCTCAAGTAACATAATTTCAGTCATATAATTTATGTCACCTTTTGTAATTGCGAATATACACTGAACAATTTACAAATCAACTAAAATAGGACAGGGCCCAACTTAGAAGTATTTTTGTGTGAGCAGCTATTAATTAAATTGGAAAAAAAAATTGTTCTTAGATACTACAAAAAATGGATATAAATAGGGCCTTCTGCCCCATTCTTCTCAAATACAGGTGTGGCTGCCATGAGGTCATTGTGACAACAAAGGTAAGGCACGTATGGTGGTGTGGGCGGAAGAGCTTGACCCAGTTGGCGTTTGTACAGGAATCCTGTTTGGGTACTTCTAAACGCTCACGGTCGAAGCCACCTGTCAATCACAGAACAGGTCTTTGTATGGGGTTTCCAGGATTTAATGAGAAGTTAGGATAGGATTAGGTTACATTTAAGTTGAGCTGAAACTTGACTGCTCGTTTTCTCCACCCCATTGTGCATTGTTGTAACATTTCGTTTCGTAAAGTTGTCTAACAAGTTGCCTTAGTTGGCAGCCCTCCTCCTACATCTTTTCTTAGAAATGATACTGTACAATGTATTTGTCATTCTGGTTTAAATGTTTTTGTGATATTTAATGTATGAATTTTAGTGTTAATGACTACCGTACTTACCCTTTTCTTTACTTGTTTGAACACATAGTTTTAGACTTGTAAAATGTAACTGTGAAAGACATTTCAAAGCATTGGTTACAAAAAAAACTTGTATGCAAATAGTCTAGCAAATGAGAATTTCTTCTCATCCAGTTCTTTATTAAAGTGCTGACCAGCCATCATACCAGACTTCTCGGCAATTGTTTCTCCATAAACACCATTTGTAAAGTTGAGCATGACTTACATTCCCATTGAGATGATTTGGTGGACTACAGACTAGGGCAGGAATGAAATTAATCTATATTTGAATTAGACTGTTTTGCTTATCGTTGCCATTATATGTTTGATTCCCACAAGCCCTAGCTATCAATGATTATCACTGTGCAAATGACAGTGTGAGGCTGGAATGTTGTTTTCTCACATTTCCAGTCCAGGCCCTGGTTTCACACAAACCTCATCTGTGTGGTTTACAACGATGGACACCGAAAACATCCGATAAGGCAAAAAAAAGAAGAATCTTAAAATCTGCTCTGAAATAGCTGGAGGCGACGCTACAATTATAACTTTCTGCATGAAATTATCCACAGTTTGTTCCAATTACCTACAATTGGATCACATGAAAATGACAGAGCGACAGGAAAAGCTCACTTTCTCTGGCAGTACTAGTAAATAAACATGCATTCAGCGACATGAAAGACATTCCTATTTATTATTGCTTGAAAAAAGAGCAGACAACCCGTGGCGCCAACCATTTTTACATTTCTGTTTGTTCGTTTGGAAGCCTTGTTCTCATTATACCTCTAAAAGGATGAATCAGAATCACAATTGACAATATCTTACTTTGCAATGCAGTTAAGCAAAACCAAATTATTTTTAAGTGCTCTTTGCTTGCTGTAGATATGGCTCAAACATTTGTGTGTGTGTTTGTGTGTTCAGTATGTTTTGGTGTGAAGTGCCTGCTATAGTAAATAAGAAATGTATATTTACAGAGGGCATCTATCCTGTATAGCCAAACAGCCATAGCGCTTTGTGAGGGGAATATCTCCATACCAGGGCGAAGCTGTGGCGCAGTAGGTAGTGCTGTTGCCTCACAGCAAGAAGGTCGCTGGTTTGAACCTCGGCTCAGTTGGCGTTTCTGTGAGGAGTTTGCATGTTCTCCCTGCCTTCGCGTGGGTTTCCTCCGGGTGCTCCGGTTTCCCCCACAGTCCAAAGACATGCGGTACAGGTGAATTGGGTAGACTAAATTGTCGGTAGTGTATGAGTGTGTGTGTGAATGTGTGTGTGGATGTTTCCCAGAGATGGGTTTCGGCATCTGCTGCGTAAAAACTTGCTAGATAAGTTGGCGGTTCATTCTGCTGTGGCGGCCCCGGATTAATAAAGGGACTAAGCTGACAAAAAAATGAATGAATGAATCTCCACACCACCACTAGTGTGCAGCATTTACATGGTTAATGTGATGGCAGCCACAGGACAGCAGTGCCAGTGCACTCATCATATTAGGGGAGTGGGCAGACAGTGATAGAGCCAATTTGGTGGATAGGGATGATTGGGAGGCTATGATGTGTAAAGGCCAATGAATGGAATTTAGCCAGGACACCGACGTTACACACCTGCTCTTTACAAGGGATTTGACCACAGAGAGTCAGGACCTCAGGTTTAATGTCTCAATCGAAAGACAGCGTTTACTGAAAGTATAGTGTCCCCTTCACTATAATCACTGGGGCATTAGGACTCACATAGACCACAGGTTGAGCACCCTCTGCTGGCTTCACTAACACTGAAGTACTGACCAGGCTCAGCACCACTTAGCTTCAGTGAGAAACCGATATTGGGCTACTGAGTGATATGGCTATACAGCAATCCATTATTACATTGGTAGATGTTCAACCTAAAGCCAGGTTAAAGCCTCCATCTTTGCTAACCTCTCACACATTGCACTAGGTTTATTAATGGGCACAGGGCCGGAGTAGGACTCCTTTTCAGCCCTGGAGTTTCAAGCCTTAGACCGGCCAACCTATATATTCTGTGCTAAATTCTTTATAGATATCCAGTCCTTCGTAACGGTGGTCACACAAAAAATAAAATATGTACACCTACATAAGTAACCCAAACAATATTATATGTCGTAACACTAAAAATGAAAAAAAAAAATTTACTCGGGTCAGATTCGATCTCAGATCGACGGTGTCGTAACGCAACGTGCTGACCACTGGACCACAATGGCGTTGTCATGCCAGAGCATCCGGAATAAAAAAGTATTGCACTGTTTGCACAGGGCTGCGAGAAAATAAATAAAAAGAGCTGAGCTTTGGCAAAATAATGAAAAAAAAAGAGTAACGTAATGCTATTATAAACAAATATCAAATAAATCAAATAAACAAATAAATGAAAAAAGTGCGACTGCTGAGAGTGCAAGCAGCTAGGGACACCGGCCCTCGCGGAAAAAAAACGAACCGGCCAATCAGTCAATCTGGGCCTGAATGGGCTTATAGAAGGTCTGAATCTGTAAGCACACTGAGATGTTCACTAAAACAGAAGGTGTCTAGATGCACTTCCTGTGATTACATAGCAAAATAAGATACTGGTGTTGCACAGAAATGGTAAAGGGTTCATAGCTATGCTTTGAGGGCAATGCAGTGTTCATCTCTTTCTCTCTCGCTAGGTATAATTGAATTGAAAAGATCTTTTCACAGTATACCTCCCATTGAGCCTTACGCCATCTTTTTTAAGAACAGCACATTGTTTACTTTGTCAAGCTCCATTCTAGCTACTAATGCTAATATAAATCATGCAAATTGTATTTGTAGATCAAGGTAATAACTGTAAGAACTGGTTCAAAACAGCATTTGTCCTTATTGTAAACATTTGGCTAATCATCTAGGAGCATCATCCTATGGTGGTTAAAATAGGAAGGGTATGTGTCAAGTTTGTGGTCTGTATTCCATACTAGGCTTTAGATATCCATTTTCTATCATGCATTCATGGCAGCAAGATGACTAGAATAAATTTCAGTGAGGTTGCACGGCACAGCACTCTAATTACTGTTTCTGTTCCCACACTTCACTTAACTTTATAATTGGCTTGCCTTTTTCGCTGCCATTAATTACACGATTTCATATTCCATTAATGACTCTAAGAAAGAGACACACCTCACTTTTTCACACTAATTAACAGCTGCTTTGCCACTTTTCCGCACAAACGTGTGAGCAACGTCTCCCTTCTGTACCTCAGACCTTTCTCCTAATAACAAATGTGCTCATTAATTGATTTATTTACAATATTTCTCATGTTGCTTCATATTGTTTTCTCTCTCTCTCTGTCTAATCAGCACCCCTACCCTTCAGAAGAACAGAAAAAGCAACTGGCACAAGACACCGGGCTCACTATACTACAAGTGAACAACTGGTAAGTCAATTGTACTTTTGTGTTTACATGCAATCAATAGCTTCGCCCCTGGCAAGCGGCTCCTAATGATTTGAATTAATACACTCTCCTCCCCCCCCCGCTTTTACTCGCCCCTCCCATCAGTCTCCCACTTATCGCCTCATCTCCCTTCAAATCAATTCACCCAAAGGGATATTGCCGCTAGGATTTTTCCGACATTTTTCTTTTTGTTCGCTCATTCAAATACGATTCCATGTGAGAGTAGCTAACCTTGTGCCTCTCTGAACTCTCTCTTCAAACCCTGTGTGCCCTGCACTGCTGTGATGCAGGACTCTTTATCTACACCTAACCTGCTATTATTTTCACAGTTTCCACCGTCGAAAGTCTGCAAAGTTTGACAGAGCCTTTGCTCGGGTGTGTTTGTTATCAGAGATGGCTATCAGCACATACTTACTGTTATTAGCCGTGTCTAATGACGGGCCTGAGATAGGGAGTGGGGAGGTGAAACCGAACACAGGAGGGAACGTTTGATGTAAGAATACAAAGACCAACCTTTGCCACATATTTCTTCTCAAGAACTTTGCCAGGCCCTCACATGAATTTCTGGTCGCAAGCTCTCTCGCTTGTTCTCTAAGTATCAGGGATTGATATTGCTGAAGATCTGATTACATGCTCTAATCCATTTTGCCGAATAAACCGGTCTTGATGTAGGCGCTTCCAACAAGGCAAGGGTTGCTTGCCTTAAAAAAAAATGCATTCAGATGGCAAATCACAAATTATTAATTATTTCACTGAGGCAATCAGTAGCTTAATCATTCATAAATCATTCATGAAGCTACTTTTAGTTACAAGAGGATGACAGTACAGACTAGATCCCTATATATAACCACATTCGGATAGTATGAGAAAACAAGACACGGTGGCACAGTGGCTAATACTGTCGTCTCACAGCAAGAAGGTCGCTGGTTCGAGTCCCGGATGGGTCAGTTGGCATTTTTGTGTGTAGTTTGCATGTACTCCCCGTGTTCGCGTAGGTTTCCTCCATGTTTGTATGTGTGTTTCCCAGTACTGGATTGCAACTGGAAGGCCATCGGTTGTGTAAAACATATGCTGGATAAGTTGGCGGGTTCATTCTGCTGTAGCGACCCCTCATGAATAGGGACTAAAGGCTGATTTATACTATCTGCTTTGAGTGATCAGCATGACACACGGCCTGCCTAGCGTGTACTCGTGCATTTATACTTCTGCACACTGTTTATTTTGCTCTGCAATAACACTTCCGAAGTGCTAGCTGGCCGTAGGTTTTTATGTTTCTCTGTGTCGAGTTTCTTTACAGTTTTGTTTTTTATGAATGTATTTAGCTAAAACTCGCTCATTCAGAGGCGGGAACTGGCAGACGTGCAACAAATTTAATCATAACGTAAACGCAAAACAAAAGTCTCCATCTGGAGCTCCTTCATGTGACTTGACACTTGTAAACAATTGCTCCATCAGTCTCGCGGCTCCAAGCCGACCAATCATAGAGCCTCCACTACGCATCATTGTGACATGTAGTTCCAGTTTCGGCCACTGCGAGTGCTATGCAACCATGCGAAGGCTGTGCCGGACCATATGCCTGTGCTTGACACAGAAGTATAAATTGGCCTTAAGCCGAAGGAAAATAAATGAGTAAATGAATGAGAAAACAAGTATTAATACACTGAAAGTACTATTAGTGGTTGTCATCACAATAAGTTGGCTTGGTTTGAACAATTTCATGTCGTTTCACTTTATTTGGTAGTCACAATTATTTTAGAAACTGACAGTTTGAATGGGCATAGTCACATTAAGTTCATGTGGATAAGTGGTACAAAATATAGTGTTATAATATTGTTTATTAATTATTATGCTGGATAAGTTGGTGCTTCATTCCACTGTGGTGACCACAGATGAATAAAGAGACTAAGCCGAAAAAGAAAATCAATCAGTGAATTAAATAGTTATACATTACCAGTGTATTCTAGATATTTCGATTTCCAATAGCAACCACTATTATCGTAAAACACACTGTGCTGAACAAAGTACGTTTAACATTCAATGGGTTACACCTCTGTACCCTGATTATGTAACATTATTATTCCATCAGGCTTCTCAAGCTTATTAACAAACCATCTCATGCTATGTACACCAGATGCTAGGAGAGCGAGAGAGATAGGAGACGTATTAAAGCCCATTACACAAAATGTAATTTCTGACAACATAATCCTTACCATTGTTCAGTTCGGTACCTTGGAGACAACCGGTGACTGAGAATGAGGATTAATTTACAAAAGTGGCCTATCAGGGGGACACAGGCTGACAGACACGAGGGAATCTTGTCGGGGTTATCAATTTCTGTGACCTCACAACAACCCATGGGAGATCAATCCTTTCAGCTATATTAGTTAGCAGAGAACGCACAGACAATTACTTCACACACTGTGTTCTGTACGTCCTGTACTACCCTGGCTGTAGGGACAGCGTTTGACATATGTTGGCTAAAACCTGTGTTTGAGAGAGAAGGAGCACCTGTCAGAGCAAGGGTGTAAGTGATGAGCTAAAGGTGGTCACTTTAAGCAGCATTAGCCACTAAACCCTGCACGCTGGGATCTTGCTGCCAGATTGTGTGCATCAGTGCGGATGTGTGTAAGGGCGCAGATGACGTGGAAAGTGTGTATGAAAACAGAGGGCGAGACAGACACTCAACACATTAGGGGTTGGAGAGTAGGATCTGTTGTTTCATAGACCCATGGTCGTGCTTGGAAGGATGCTCACCATTGGGTGTCTCCATGGCAACCCCTGGTGATGTTACCTCCTGACCTGCTGATTTTTAGAGGCAGTCTTCCCAGCTGTGATTCTATTTTTCAGACTACGCAATGCACAGAGTGAATATAGCTTCACTTAAAATATATGTCCACTCTTGCACAGATGCATATAGATTTCATCCAATTATCATTCAAGTCCATATCACAGCAAAACATCAAATAAAATCCTAATTAGTAGACTCGAGGGCAAACATGTGGAAGCATGACACCAAACAAACAGCTACCAGATGGAGTTAAACAAGAGATAAACTGAAAACGATGGCTTCCTTAAGCCTTGCTTCCATAGACTTGTTAACACACATGTAGGTGTCCATTATTGATGAGGACTTGGAGAATCCACGAGCTGAAGATTAAATAAAAAATGCTAAAGGCCGTGCGGGGTGCGGATCACTCATGAATTATTGGCACTAACATAACGTGAGGGACTGCTGCAAATCTGGGTCCACATTTTAACAATCGACCCACGTGTTTGTGCGTAAAGTCAACAAGCATTGAGAGTATTTGAAGAAATCTGGACGATATGCAATAGATGTACACTTAGTCACACCCTTATGGACACCCTTACGCACACATGAGCACAGACGCATGCGCGCCCGCGGACACGCATGAGCTCACAGAGACAGCCTAAGACACAGTGAGCGAATGTGGCATTGAGGAGGAGATGTGGATTGACTGTGGGATCTATTTTTGGAGGGAGATGTCAGAGCTTTGAAAGCAATTATGTACAGATGCATAATAATGTGGAGGTACAGTCTGTTGTTCAACCGAATGCCAAACTTCAATGGGGGATTACGAAAAAGGAAAGATACAGAGAGAGAAAGTTTCACCCTTTGACGATAAGAGGAAGCATTCTCAGAACACTCCATAAAGATCAGTGATGTAAAATCAATGGGCGGGTCATCAGGTTTCACGTGTTGCCCGTTCTTCCCTTCCTGACGGAATTTAATAATCCCCTTTAAAGATGCTGTTTAAACCTTAGGGATGGATTGTTTTGTCAATAAGGCGGCTTTTATGAAAGTCTTAAAAGCATGGAGTGAAGTGTGGCGGGGCTACTTTAGAGAAGCAGCATCCACACACCCTGGATCAGGTTTCTGCGCCTGAGAGAAAAAAAAAAGAGCGAGAGCAAAATAAAGAGAGAGAACTGGATGACTGGCATGCTTCACTTCTCTGACAGCCAAGCCCGCCCATGTCAAGAGAAGTTGAAACTTGTTCAAGAAAAGCTCTGGATGATTGCTCTCTGTGCTCTTCGTGTGTAGTATCTGGCATGGTTCTTTTAGCTTGGGGGAAAATGTGACCCCTGACCCAGTAGGTATCTCGGAGAGGTGATATGCAACATTTTTACACTTACAAAAGCTAAATCACAAATGAGATCTTTGTGGTATCTCAGTTGTTTCATGTGGACCACAATTAGATTTAAATGAAATGCAAACAGACTTGTTTGAGAACAAAGATTGCAGTATAGTAGATGCTCGCAATAATGTATGCCAAAACATTTTCTCATCAAGCTACATTTACGACATAGCCTCTTTGTGTTGCAATAGAAGATAATGTGTGTATTCAAAAAAAAATCAACCCAAGCTCATTCTGAAAACGTAGTCCCGCGGATGTTTCTGGAGACTGCGATTTATGTAGCCAAAGGTACATATGGCTGCATTTAATTTTTTTTAAGCGAATGCTACGGTATGACACCGCTCCTTTTCTCGCTCGCCGACTGACCGCTTACCTCCGTGTCAAGAGCTTTTCCACAGCAACCAGTTTGTTTAGTTAGCTTGCCGTGTACGTAGGCGGAGTTGAGACGCAGAGAGGAGTTGACCATGATGACGACGACCAGGTTTGAGTCCAGGGAAGAGCGGTTCCAGAAATCAGGTAAGACAAAAACAGAATCCAAAAAATAAAGTGAACGAGTGAATAACAGGGTGAGAATGTGGTGAAATCCGAAAGCGTGGTAAACATCAGACGAGGGCTTTTCTTTTTTTTGGACAGCTTTTATAAATCGTTGCTTGGGTTTAGGGAAGTAAGCGGGTGGGCGGGTCAATCAGTAAAACTGTTTGGGTTTAGGGAAGGAGGAGGAGGATGGGTCGGCCGATTGGTCAGTCGCACAGTCAATCATTTAGTCATTCAGTCAGACAGATGGTCACTCGACAGTGGCCTCCGGTGGGTTTTCATAAGAACAGCGTA